TAGATACCAAACTAACCGATTATTTATCATTCTCTCGAATGTTTTGCAGAGGCAACTTGTTAGTGAAATTGGGCGATAATTTGTAGGGTCAGTTGAATCTTTTCCATGTTTAGGGATAGGAATAACCAACGCATTTTTCCAAGTGTTAGGAAATTCACCAGATACCCCAAAATTTAAAAAAAAATCAAAATTTTGTTAAAAATTGTAAGAAGCAAGCCAAGAGATTGGGGTGGTAGATGTTTAAGAAACTGGTAGTATATTTCGTCCGGGCCTGCAGCACTGTCTTTTGCAGTTTTAATTGAATAAATTAAGTCATCAATAGACAAAAGGGAATTATAGTCTTCATCATTTCTTGAAGTAAAATTAATATGTTCTTTCTCAGCTTTACATTTGTGTTGTTGAAATTCATTTGAATAATTGTTTGAAGAAGAGTTCTTTTCAAATGTTTTAGCCAAAGTTTCTGCAATATCCGTTTTTTGTTTGGCATATTGGCCATCACCAGTTTTTAAGTGAACAATTGGACTTCTTTTTATACTTACCACTTATTTTCCGTACTGCATCCCAGACTTTCTTAACAGGAGTATTTGAATTAATATTTGAAACATATGATTGCCAAGATTGGCGTTTAGACAAACGAATTGATCTTCTAGCCTTAGCTCTATATATTCTATAATTTTCAAGGTTTTCTGTTGTAGGGCGATGTTCAAACTTTTTTTAGCGAAGCTTTCCGTATGCGAACAGCTTTTTTACATTCATCGTTAAACCATGGCTTTTTTATTTTATTACTATTGTTTTTTGTTAATGGAACAACTTTGCAGGCAATAGTATGTAATGCTGAAGAAAACGTTTCAGCTAGATCAGCAGAAGTGGCTCCTTTCTTTTAATAAGTGTGTACCAAGTTTGTTCAAATAAAAACCCTGGGGTCAAAATTGGCTCTGCAAGTGTGGTCATTGTTTTACCTATAAGAATATAGTAATGACTTAGAAATCTTCTTTAAAAAACCCCCAAACACTAGAGCTTATATTTTTTCTTTTAGTCATTTTATAGGTTTTTAGTGTTTAGAAATTATAAATGTTCTAATCGTTTATACTGTTAACATAAACATCGCTTGCTTTTGTTAACTGTAGGTTGTTGAACACTTTTAATTGGATAATTTAAGGTTTACATTTGACAAATACACAACTGTATTTCCTACTTTTGACTTGGTATACGAGATATATAAGAACAAAATTGGGAAAATAACGCATTTTTTGTGCTATTTAAATTTTAATTATTTCAGCAAATAGTTATGACAACACTGATAAAAAAAACCTTCTTGTTTGACATAATGTTTGTCCCAGTCTGTAACTTAATATATACAACAAGTTCTTGTATCACTGTTAAATTCACATGATAGAATGATTATGCTTTCTTTCCATGTTTTAATAACCATATTGGTAGAAAACTTTATTCAATATTTTTGTTTTCACTTTGTCTGGAATATAAATTGTTGCATAAATATGTTAATTAATTGTAAAACTATCAAACCATATACAATAATGCATGTATCCTTCAAACTTGTTTGATGTTTAAAGAAATTGAATAGTATCTAATATTTAAAAAAAATATTGCTACAAAAGCGATTGACGAAAAAAAAGCAAAAAATACTGTTCAAACTCTCTTAAATATTAATTACTTTCCTTGATCTTGATATTCAGCATAGTTTAAAAATTATCTCAGTTAACAAAAACTGTCGTTAACGAAAGCTGCCAAACGTCTTTTCATTGTACTTTAAAACTGGAATCCACTTAACACATATTTTAATCACACTGTTTATTTTGTATGCTTTTAAAATGCATGTATTTTTGTTGTTAGCTGCTTATAAAAAAACCTTTGTACACAGTTTAAAATCATTACTGTTTTTAGGGATTCCTTTTTCTTTTTTTTTTCTCGCATGTAATTAACATTTTTATGGTTGATTTCCTACAAATGTCTTACTATATTTTGACAAAATATCAAAATCATACTTTAACAAACCTTTTTTTACTACTACTTATAGAAGATTCCAATCATATTAGCAAATGCGCAAGTTTGTAAAATATTCATCACCTTTCACAGAACTATTTTTTTAGCTCGACTATACGAAGTATATGCAGAGCTGTCCTACTCGCCCCGGCGTCGGCGTCCAGATTTCAGATTAAAGTTTTGGTGCAGTAAAATATTTTTCACTATAACTTTGTCATTTCTTAAGGTTACTTTTAGGTATCAACTTCAAATATATGTTCCTTATCATCAACCATATCTTATGTGACAAGGTTCATACCTCTAGCACCAATATTTAAGATTTATCTCCCCTTGAACTTAGAATTTTCCTTAAAAATATTATTTTTTACTGTAACTTATTTATTTCTAAAGGGATCAATTTCATACTTTAAATATATGTACCTTATCATCATCCACATCTTATGTGACAAGGTTCATATCTCAAGCACCAATATTGCAAGAATTATCTCCCCATAAACCTACATTTTTTTATTAGAAAACTGTTATTTTATACTATAAGGTATCTACCTCAAACTTCAAATATTTATTCCTTATCATCAATTACATTTTATGTGACAATGTTCATAACTCTTGAAGCAATATTTACAGATTTATCTCTCTTTGAACTTAGGATTTTCTTTAAGAATTATTATAACTTCTTTTTTATTATTTTTTTATTTTTTTTGGTATCTACTTCAAATTTCAAATATATAGTTCTTATCATTACACACATGTTGTGTGACAAGGTTCATGACTGTTTTAAAAATTATCCCCCTTGATCTTGGAATTTATGTTAACAAATGTAATTTTTTACTATAACGTAATACATAATTATACATAATTGATTTTTCTTTCATAGTTTTGTCCTCCTTACTGCGTCCAGTACTTTATTAGTCGAGCTTCGTTGTCTCTTGTTTAGGGTGATTCCGCTTTGTCAGCCATGTTTGTTTTCACAAAGTCTGTTCAAGGTGAAAGTAGGCCAAAATTCATATAACAACAACAAAGCTCACATTGTTATATGATGAGCCATTTACAAGTACACTTCCAGTTTTATGTTTTAAAGACTACTTTAAACAAAAATAAAGATAAAATAAAGTTTCATGCACATTTCATGAATGGCAAAATCCAGTTTAAAGTCTATTTTAGTGCCAACAAATGCTATTTGTTGCAGAAAAATACAAAACAAACTGAAAAAACATAAATCTTAGAAAAATAGTTTATCTGACCTTGAAAAAACATGGCCACCATGACATGCGTAAAAAAGTAGTACCATGAAAATAAATATTATTTACCTATTTCTTGTGTACATGACAATTAGACACACTTCACTGTTACACATAAAAAGGTTTGATTTTGAAGTTTGATTGTTTTTTCATTATAATTGTAGTTCATAAGGCTGTAAATGATAATTGTTTTCTTGCACTACTTTTTTACAAAAAAACAAATGGAGGCCATGTGCTTAGAAGGACATGAGATACTGATTTATTTGGAGTTAAGTTTTGAAAGATTTTTGTATTTCCTGCAAAAATAGCTTTTGTTGGCACTAATACAGACTTTAAAAAGGATTTTGCCATTCATGATTATTATGCGAGCCTCTGAATTTAATATTCTGTTTATCACATACCCAAAACAAGAGCCGGTTGAACCGGGCGATGCTCCCCGAATAGGTTTTGGACACAGGAAGGTATACCTCTTGTAGTGTCAGAGTTATGTCACAGACAAAGTTCAAAGTGTAAAAATAACCCAAATGTTGTGCACGACACACTGTCTCAATAAATATGGTGATCATTTTTGTGAAATAGTTGTAAAATCCAACTTCAAATAACAAAGTCATGGGCCGGACATGATTTTGCTGCAAGGTCATGCTGTGACATTGACCTTCAAGGTAGCGACCCAAATGTTGTGCATGACACGTCATCTCAATGTGATGATCATTTCTGTGAAATATTTCTAAAATCCGACTTCAAATAACGAAGTTATGGGCCGGACACGATTTTGCTGCAAGGTAGCAACCCAAATGCTGCATGCAACACTTCGATTTAATATGGTGATCATCTGTGTCAAATAGTTGTTAAATCCGACTTCAAGTAACATAGTTATGGGCCGGACACGATTTTGCTGCAAGGTTATGCCGAGACATTGACCTTCAAGGTAGCGACCCATATGTTGCGCGCGACACATTGTCTCATTATGGTGATCATATCTATGAAATAGTTATAAAATCCGACTTCAAATAATGAAGTTATGTGCCGGACACGATTTTGCTGCATGATTATGCTGTGACCTTGACCTTCAAGGTAGCAACCCAAATGTTGCTCGTGACACGTCATCTCAATATGGTGATCATTTCTGTGAAATAGTTTAAAAGCTGACTTCAAATAACGAAGTTATGGGCCGGACAAGATTTTGCTGCAAGGTCATGCTGTGACCTTGACCTTCAAGGTAGCGACCCAAATGTTGTGCATGACACGTCATCTCAATGTGATGATCATTTCTGTGAAATATTTCTAAAATCCGACTTCAAATTACGAAGTTATGGGCCGGACACGATTTTGCTGCAAGGTCATGCTGTGACCTTGACCTTCAAGGAAGCGACCAAAATGTTGCGCGCGACACGTCATCTCAATATGATGATCATTTTTGTGAAATATTTTAAAAATCCGACTTCAAATAACGAAGTAATGGACAGGACACGATTAACCCCCCCCCCCCCTTCCCACGGTCTCCTGTCCCCTTCCCCTTTGTGGGCCTATTATTACTTTCTTTGAATTCCTAATCAGTTACAAATTATTTATCATTTATTGATTAACGTGTCGTTGCCCTGTCCTTTTTATGTTTGGGGTCCGCCTGGGCTCCTTACCATTGGTTCTTGTTGCTGGGTCATATGGGGGTTGCGTTCATTGAACGCCGCCTTTCCTTGTTGATCTTGTTTTTCATATTTTACCAACTGCTGTTACCCTGTTCGTACCTAATGTAGCTTGCTTTCTTTACAGAGATTGAGGGGCAGGCTGAGGAGACGATGGCGGCGGCGGTGACAGCGGAGGACGGACAGGGGCAGAGGCAGGGAGAGTCAGAGGAGATGGTGGTGAAGGAAGAGGAGACGGCGGCGGTGGGCATGACAGGGGAGACGTTGGCCGCGGAGAAGAAAAAGGCGAAGAAGAGGAAGTATGAAGAGGTGGAACGTGAGGGTAAGAAACATTTGATCACATGAAGTAGACTTATGTATTGAATGCATTGTTGTGTATTAATTATGATAAACAAGATCGACAAGGAAAGGCGGCGTTCAATGAACGCAGCCCCCACCCGACCCAGCAACAAGAGTCATCGGCAAGGAGCCCAGGAGGACCCCAAAGAAAACAGGACAGGGCACAAGGCAGAGCACGGGCAGGCATATAATTAGTAACTGATTAGGAACTAAAAGAAAACAAATAAATGATTAAATATTAGGCCCACAAAGCCAAAAGGCACAGGGGAAGGGGACACGAGACACGGGGAAGGGGAATAAATAAAATAAATAAAAAACAGGGACAAAGGGGAAGATACTTACCGTAGACGAGAAACAACAAGAGACACAAGCAAAACTGTCACGAAAACAGTATAAAACAACATAGACATACATCTGAGGAACACAGAGGGGCGCCGCCTTGGAACGGTCAGTAGCATAATAATGACTACTGGGGAGTTTAAACCGGTTAATGGTGCACCAAACCTCGCTCTTAGCCCCACTATGTTCCTATAAACAAGACAGTGTAAATAAAATGAATCCCCGCCAAGTGAAATTCTAACAGTTGCTATGGTTACAAAAGGTTAAATAAGTAAAACACCAAAATGATCATGTAGATACATATAAAAGTAAACCCAATGACCATAACAATGTCTGTTTTCAATGACTTACCAGCTGCTGTTACCCTGTTCGTACCTAATGTAGCTTGCTTTCTTTACAGAGATTGAGGGGCAGGCTGAGGAGACGATGGCGGCGGCGGTGACAGCGGAGGACGGACAGGGGCAGAGGCAGGGAGAGTCAGAGGAGATGGTGGTGAAGGAAGAGGAGACGGCGGCGGTGGGCATGACAGGGGAGACGTTGGTCGCGGAGAAGAAGAAGGCGAAGAAGAGGAAGTATGAAGAGGTGGAACGTGAGGGTAAGAAACATTTGATCACATGAAATATGATAAACAAGATCGACAAGGAAAGGCGGCATTCAATGAACGCAGCCCCCATCCGACCCAGCAACAAGCGTCAGCGGCATATAAGTAGACTTATGTTTTGAATGCATTGTTGTGTATGTCTGTTTTCAATGACTTACCAGCTGCTGTTACCCTGTTCGTACCTAATGTAACTTGCTTTCTTTACAGAGATTGAGGGGCAGGCTGAGGAGACGATGGCGGCGGCGGTGACAGCGGAGGACGGACAGGGGCAGGGGCAGGGAAAGTCAGAGGAGATGGTGGTGAAGGAGGAGGAGACGGCAGCGGTGGGCATGACAGGAGAGACGTTGGCCGCGGAGAAGAAGAAGGCGAAGAAGAGGAAGTATGAAGAGGTGGAACGTGAGGGTAAGAAACATTTGATCACATGAAGTAGACTTATGATGGAGGGATGTTGCACTTATTCATTATCCATCATGTACAGACTCAATCAAACCGAGTCTGCAATTCTTACGTTATTTTGTTGTGATTAATGCTTCCGAGGGATTACTTTGTTTCCAGAATTATGTATTGTCTGTTTTCAATGACTTACCAGCTGCTGTTACCCTGTTCGTACCTAATGTAGCTTGCTTTCGTTACAGAGATTGAGGGGCAGGCTGAGGAGACGAAGGAGGTGGTGGAGGAGGAAAGGCCGTTGAGGGACTGGACGACAATAGAGCTGTTCCAGCAGTCGGGCAGCTTAGCTGGTGATTTAGCTGGTAAGAGTTTTGTTACTTTTAAGAACCTGCATGTATGTAGACTTGTGACACATAATAATTTAATACGTGATTGTAAACTTAACCAGATTATAGTAAAGGGATCGTCGACTTCTGTATTTATCTATCTTGTTATATTTTCTGGTCCTTCGGGATCATTGATGCCAACACTATGAAGTGTTGAGAATTGAGTACCGCTCAAGCCGGTGCTAGGGGGCGTGAGGGATGTTGCACTTATACATTATCCCTCATGTACAGACTCAATCAAACCGAGTCTGCAATTCTTATGTTATTTTGTTGTGATTAATGCTTCCGAGGGATCACTTTGTTTCCAGAATTTTGTACTTCACAACAGCAGGTGTCAAGTGCCGTGTGGCAGCCGTAAAAAGTTGCCCTGTACTTCACTTCAGTGTTGTTATATTTTCTGGTCCTTCGGGATCATTGATGCCAACACTATAAAGTGTTGAGAATTGAGTACCGCTCAAGCCGGTGCTAGGGGGCGTGAGGGATGTTGCACTTATACATTATCCCTCATGTACAGACTCAATCAAACCGAGTCTGCAATTCTTATGTTATTTTGTTGTGATTAATGCTTCCGAGGGATCACTTTGTTTCCAGAATTTTGAAGAATATGTTATTCAGTGATTTTGTGATTGTAGACTTGTTATGATGATTTGATAACTTGATTGGGGTGTGTATACAAAATGGATCGTCGACTAAATAATTTAACGAATTTTTTATTGTAGACTTATAATATCATACCGACTACAGATTGTCATTTATACGCATGCTTAATCATGGTTTGCTCTTGTTGCAGTCAGTACCGACTCTGATGACTACCCCATTGAGCCGGTGCCGCCCAGACCGGCAGTCGTCCTGGAGCGTGGGTCGGACGGGAATTTCGTGAGGGACACCAAGCCATGGCCCAGGTACGGGCTGCTTAGAAGGAAGCGGACCTCATCGGAGTCGACAGCGGCATCCTCCGGCGGCGGCTCGGAGTATTTCCCGAAGTCGGACGATTTGCTGTCGTCAACGTCAGCGGGGGAGGATGCTGCTGACGACCACCACCCGTCGACACCAGCCCCAGAACCCCCTGTGAGGCGGCTGTGCAGGAGCCCGACGGTCAAGAGGAGGCAGAGGACCACAGTAAGTATTGTTTTAACGTACTCTTGAATTCAAAAAAAAAACGTTGAAATCACCCGTCACGTAACTGCATCACTGATATTTGAATTGATGTCTCGCACAAATGAGGATAAGCAATGTTTCCTTTCATTTCAGGGTAAAAAGCAACAGCGCCCGTGCCCGCTTGAGGGGTGCCGAGCCAGCGTTGTTAACATGGCTCGGCACTTCAGGCAAGTTCATCCGGGGACGGAGGTCCCCAAGAAGCCCACAGCAGCAGAGGGGAGTAGGCGGACCTACGGGGGGCAGAAGGTGTGCGCCGTCTGCTCCAGCCGTACGATGAGAATGGACTTGCACCTGGTTCGAAAGCACGGGTTGATGAAGGGCTCCCCGGAATATGCAGCCAAGCTGAGGGCGGCCACCGTACCCCAATACGCTTCCACTGAGGGGACCAGCGACCTATCAGAGGCTCTGGTTGAGTATGGGTAGGTACGTTTATTTCTAAACTCTATTTGTACTGTTCATCTGCAATTGATCGATCGTCTTTCAATTGAGACATAATTGGTGTTTACTTTATTTAATCTATGAATTTCTTTTCAGAGAGAGACTGCAGGACAGGTCTATTTCACTTGGCGGGGATTCATTTTATTTACACTGTCTCGTTTATAGGAACATGGTGGGGCTAAGAGCGAGGTTTGGTGCACCATTAACCGGTTTAAACTCCCCAGCAGTCATTATTATGCTGCTGACCGTTCCAAGGCGGCGCCCCACTGTGTTCCTCAGATGTATGTCTTATGTTGTTAAATACTGTTTTGGTGACACTTTTGCTTGTGTCCCTTGTTGTTTTCTCGTCTACGGTAAGTATCTTCCCCATTGCCTCTAGTTTTTATTTCTTTGATTACTCCCACCCCCTCCCCCGGTCTCCTGTCCCCTTCCCCTTTGTGGGCCTATTTTTATTTTCTTTGAATTCCTAATCAGTTACTAATTAATTATCATTTAATGATTAACCTGTCCGTGCTCTGTCTTTGCCCTGTCCTGTTTTTGTTTGGGGTCCCCCTGGGCTCCTTGCCATTGGTTCTTGTTGCTGGGTCATGTGGGGGTTGCGTTCATTGAACGCCGCCTTTCCTTGTTGATCTTGTTTATCATATTCTATGGGGGACCAGAGGACGGAGGCCACCACCAGGTCTCACGGAGCCGGCATCAAGCGGCTGCTGCCCGCCCTTACATCAGAGGCGGTGCAGGGATTACAATCGATTGGGGTCCGTGACGGCCTGGTGGACACCCTCTTGAAAGACGAGACGTAAGTAGTCAATTTTGTGATTTTGTAAGAAGACAATTTTGTCGGATTGTGATTGTAGACCTAATACACACACCAACAGTATCTTACGTGTAGCTTTCTGCTGTCTGACATATTCATTATATAATTAGTATTATATAAGATATAACCATTCATTTGTCATTGAAACAAATCACACGTACCAGAAAATAACCAAACTCATTATGCCAGTCGTCATTGATGCGGAGTAATCAATTTGTGTGATCGTACACTTGTATTATACAAGATAGAGATGTCCACTTTAAAATGTTTCTTTTGTTGTTTCAGCCTGTCGGCAGCAAGTCTGCGCACTTATCTCCACTCCCTTGCCGGGTTTCTGGCGTACCTCGCCACCTCCTCCAGGTGGCTGCGTCACCTGGGCATGACCCACGCAGCCGTCGAAATTGTGCGTGGGAAGGTGAACCAGGTAGCGCAGTCCCTGAAGCAGGACATCAACGGCCAGGCCGTGGAGGCGGCTGGCCAGAACCCGGAAGGGAGTCTGGCTTTGAAGCCTTGGATGGCAGGTCTGTACCTGGAGTCGGAGGCTGTGGAGACGGCAAAGAGGCTTATCGATGAGGCAGCTGATGGAGGGAAGCAGCTGAACAAGAGCGAGTTTTGCAGTGTGCGAAACTCGCTCGTTGTTCAGCTGCTTCTCAGCAACGCTAAGCGGTCCGGGGATATTGCGGCCTTGCGCCGCAACGATGTAATGTAGGCGACGGTGGCCCCGGACCAGCCAGATCAGGCAGCCGAAATATACGTAAGTGTATTAGTATTATCCAAGATTTATAAATGTTGTTAAGAAAATCAGTGATTGAAGATTTCTAATATCATATGAGTGATTGTATACTTAAACAAGGATTGATGACTCTTTGTATACATTTCAGATCATACAGCACAAGGAGGCCGTGAGTGGCAAACGCTGCCCACTCAGACTGGGGGCAGAGCTGCTGCGGACCGTGCAGCGGTTCTTGAAGTTTGGCACCCCAGCTCACATAAAGAGCGACTATGCTTTCACAACTTACTCCCCGGCTGGCAAGATCTCCCCTTCCGTGAGTATAATTTTCAGCTTTTTATTTTTTCAATTGTACTGGAATGTTTCAGGATGCTGTTTTTTGGCGATATACACCGTAAATAATAATAATAATAATAATTATAATAATAATAAAAGACACTATAATCTGTACTTTTCTTTTCACAGAACATGGCCAAGATGGTGGATACCGCCTGGACGGCATTTAGTAAGGCCAAGGGGCTTGACCTGCCACGGTTGACGTCATCACTCAGCCGAAAGTTGGCCGTCTCCACCCACCGTGAGAGCGGGGCCAGCCGCGAAGAACAGACAGCGTTGGCCGCGCATATGGCCCACCGGGTGGAGACGATCGACCGTTACTATAACAGGGCCAACTTAAGGGGCGAGACGGGAAAGGCCCTTGATGTGATTGTCGGCACCTACAAGGTAGGATACATACATACATATTCATACAAAATAAATAAAAAAAAACATTCAAAGTTGTGAATTGCACCGAGTTCCGATTCAGACGGGAAAAAATAATGTCAGTTTGTGATTTGCTCTTTTCATCTCTTTTTTTCAGGATTCTGCACGAGCCATGGATGATCCCAAGACAGGGGAGACGGCGGGGCAGAGTGAGACGGCGGGCCCGAGTCAGACGCCCTAGGTCGACCATGTGGTTTATATTTGGTACTTGATAGAATAAAATTATTTACAAATGTTGAACTTGTCTTTGTTGTTTACTTTCGCAACTCTGGAACAGCCTTAAGATGTGGAGTTGACACAAAGAGCCACTCGACTAGAACATGTACAGCGCCAACATAAGGCAGTGTACGTAAACCACAACGATACCGATCACACGTAGTCGGCCTAATAAGCTTTACCCCCTATCGACTATACTATTTTAGATGAACAAAGAAAGATGTTACACAAAATCTTGCATGCAGAGTTGATGATAGAGCCACTCGATCATATTCGAGCCATAAGCAGTGCACATAGAATACCAAGTAACCGATCACATATAGTCGGCCTATTAAACTTAACAAAAGTTCGTAAAGCCCTTTGGGACTGAATTGTCTTAATGTTCGTCTTCTGCCTTGCTTCGTCGGGCCCTTGTAGGTGATTTTCTTGTTGCTCTGTCTCTCCAGAATTTTGTACTTCACAACAGCAGGTGTCAAGTGCTGTGTGGCAGCCGTTAAAAGTTGCCCCGTACTTCACTTCAGTGTTGTTATATTTTCTGGTCCTTCGGGATCATTGATGCCAACACTATAAAGTGTTGAGAATTGAGTACCGCTCAAGCCGGTGCTAGGGGGCGTGAGGGATGTTGCACTTATTCATTATCCCTCATGTACAGACTCAATCAAACCGAGTCTGCAATTCTTATGTTATTTTGTTGTGATTAATGCTTCCGAGGGATCACTTTGTTTCCAGAATTTTGTACTTCACAACAGCAGGTGTCAAGTGCTGTGTGGCAGCCGTTAAAAGTTGCCCCGTACTTCACTTCAGTGTTGTTATATTTTCTGGTCCTTCGGGATCATTGATGCCAACACTATAAAGTGTTGAGAATTGAGTACCGCTCAAGCCGGTGCTAGGGGGCGTGAGGGATGTTGCACTTATTCATTATCCCTCATGTACAGACTCAATCAAACCGAGTCTGCAATTCTTATGTTATTTTGTTGTGATTAATGCTTCCGAGGGATCACTTTGTTTCCAGAATTTTTCCTTTAGGACATTGAGTACTTTTGTTATGGTCATTGGGTTTACTTTTATATGTTTCTACATGATCATTTTAGTGTTTTACTTATTTAACCTTTTGTAACCATGACAACTGTTAGAATTTCACTTGGCGGGGATTCATTTTATTTACACTGTCTCGTTTATAGGAACATGGTGGGGCTAAGAGCGAGGTTTGGTGCACCATTAACCGGTTTAAACTCCCCAGCAGTCATTATTATGCTGCTGACCGTTCCAAGGCGGCGCCCCACTGTGTTCCTCAGATGTATGTCTTATGTTGTTTCACACTGTTTTGGTGACACTTTTGCTTGTGTCCCTAGTTGTTTTCTCGTCTATGGTAAGTATCTACCCCATTGCCTCTAGTTTTTATTTCTTTGATTACTCTCCACCCCTCCCCCGGTCTCCTGTCCCCTTCCCCTTTGTGGGCCTATTTTTATTTTCTTTGAATTCCTAATCAGTTACAAATTAATTATCATTTAATGATTAACCTGTCCGTGCTCTGTCTTTGCCCTGTCCTGTTTTTGTTTGGGGTCCCCCTGGGCTCCTTGCCATTGGTTCTTGTTGCTGGGTCATGTGGGGGTTGCGTTCATTGAACGCCGCCTTTCCTTGTTGATCTTGTTTATCATATTTCAGTGTCGACCTCCATTGGCGGTACAATTTAAAGGAAGAAGCACAAGGACGTGCAGCTAATATTGCCTAGTTGAGCGTAGAGCCACTCGATTATATTCGAACCATAAGCAGTGCACATAGAATATAAAGTAACCGATCACACGTAGTCGGCCTAATAAGCTTTACCCCCATCGATTATACAATTTCAGAGCTCCAGATAATTTTTATGGCCAAGGGGATTTTACCCCTCAAAATTAAGAGTGAGGGGTAAAATGCAAAGTCTGAAAAACTTAAGGGGTAAAATCTGTCAAAAAAGCATTTTGCATTTTTTATAAACAAATTAAACTTATTGTTGTGTTTGTTTGTTTGTTTTCTTTTTTTAGAAAAACCTTTACAAATTAAATACTGATTTAATGTGAAACAATACAAAACATGCCATGTTAAGTCAGATTTCCAGAGTATACTGGAACTCAAGTTTAGGATACACAGCAAAATTATCAGGGCTTCCATTTTCAAAATTTGGAAGTCAAAGACTTCAAAATCTCTGATATTTGAAATATGAAGTCACATTATATAGGTAAAGAAGGAAAAGTATTGATTTTCGGAAGTCACAGGCCAAATGAAGGAGTAAATGACTCCCAAACTTCCACTAGTGGAAGCCCTGAAATTATTTTATTTTCTAAGAGTCAATATTTTTATTTTTGTTTTTTTTTGTTGGCATGTACCTTATCATGTACTCCAGTTTGAACAATTATAGTTGAAATTAGAATTAAAGAAACATAAAAAAGATTTTTTTATCTTTCCTTAAAAAAAGTATTGGTCTGAGAGAAAACTGTCCGTAACTGTAGACTGGGTACGAAAATATTGAGTACAAAACTGCAAGTGAAAAACATGTTACTTTGTTCCAACAACAAAAGTTAAAGAAATTGAAATATATTTTTGTTTATATTGAGGCATTAGCATGTCAATAGATGCCTAAACAAACTTAATACTGTGTTAACTCCTACAACGATTATCTGGCACAAATTTCATCAATAATTTTACAGGTTGATCTACGGGAGTTACTTCCCTTCTCTATTTCCTGCTACTTTCGTTTTTAACATGCGTTGTTGACAGTTTTCAATGCAATAAAATGGAAATATATTGTATTTTTATGCTCAAAACATTTTCTTTCTACATATCAAATGTTTACACTTCTATTCTTTCACGCATAAATTTTGAAACACGAGCGTATTTTCATTTTGTTGTGCGTAACTGTGACGCACGAATTTTGAAAGTGATGCGTATTTTAGATTTTCTATGCGTATTTTACGCTTATACGCACGCTATCTGGAGCTCTGCAATTTTAGATGGACAAAGATGTTACACAAATCTTGCAGAGTTTATGATAGAGCCACTCGATCATATTCGAACCATAAGCAGTGCACATAGAATACCAAGTAACCGATCACATAATAATTATAATCGGCCTATAAAACTTGCTGAATCATTTTCGAACACACGTTCAGTGTCGACCTCCATTGACTGTACAATTTCAAGGAAGAAGCACAACTACGTGGACGTGGAGCTTCCTAAAATTCGTATCACTTAAAAGATCTCGAAGCACAAGGACGTGGAGCTTCCTGAAAAGTATCACTTAAAAGATTGTATCACTCACAATTATGTTAGAGCGCCGTTAAACCAAGCAAATATAGCGTAAATGCAAGACCTCCAATCATATAAATGACGTAGCCGATTTTTCTTTTTTACTAGCATCCTCTAATGATAATATCATGCTTAAGGTAAAATATGATAAACAAGATCAACAAGGAAAGGCCGCGTTCAATTAACGCAACCCCCATATGACCCAGCAACAAGAACCAATGGCAAGGAGCCCAGGCGGACCCCTAACATAAACAGGACAGGGCAAAGACAGAGCACGGACAGTTTAATCATTAAGTGATCAATAATTTGCAACTGATTAGGAATTCAAAGAAAAGAATAATAGGCCCACAAAGGGAAAGGGGACAGGAGACCGGGGGGGGGGGGTGAACAAAGAAATAAAAACTAGAGGCAATGGGGAAGATACTTACCGTAGACGAGAAAACAACAAGGGACACAAGCAAAAGTGTCACCAAAACAGTATGAAACAACATAGACATACATCTGAGGAACACAGTGGGGCGCCGCCTTGGAACGGTCAGCAGCATAATAATGACTGCTGGGGAATTTAAACCGGTTAATAACCTAGATGTTATTTCATCAATTAATTGTCTGCTGTATACATGTATCATCCTATTGTTAGCGTAAGAAAGAGAAACCATAAGCATTTTTCTGCTTTTACGGCCCAATAATACAATAAAAGAAAAACTTGAGTTTACAATAAAAGACAAAGCGATGCATAGGTCAAAGTAGTATAGAGAATGTCCGTGTTACCGTCCACATACCCTTACACCAGACGCCGTTTTTCAAAGTGGAACAAAAGTGTAACATTGAATGACGATTGCCGTATGAACATATCTATACTATTTCAGATCATACAGCACAAGGAGGCGGTCAGTGGAAAGAGGTGCCCACTGAGACTGGGGGCCGACCTGCTGCGCACCCTGCAGCGTTTCCTGCAGTTTCGCACGCCTGAGCATATTTAAAGTGAATTTGCTTTCACAACCTACTCCCCGGCTGGCAAGATCTCCCCTTCCGTGAGTATTATTCCCAGCGTTCTTATTGTTTAAATTGTACTGAAATTTTAGACGATGCTGTTTATTCGCGATATACGACGTAAATTATAATAATAACAATAATAATAGTGATAGACACTATAATCTATACTTTTCTTTTCACAAAACATGGCCAAGATGGTAGACACAGCTTGGACGGCCTTTGGAAAGGCAAAGGGTCTGGACCTGCCACGTTTGACCTCCCTAAGCCGAAAGTTGGCCGTCTTCACCCACTGTGAGAGCGGGGCCAGCCGTGAGGAACAGACTGCTCTGGCCGCGCGTATGGCCCACCGGGTGGAGACGGCCGACCGTTTCTACAACAGGCCAATCTAAGGGGCGAAAGAGGCAAGGCCCTGGACGTCATTGTGGGCACGTACAAGGTAAGATTGACATGTGCAGAAGGAGAGGAAGAGGATGAGGGATCAGGCAGCGGCGTTGGAAGTGGAAGCAGGTAAGACATATTTTGATCACAAACAGTAGACCTAAAATATTATTTTCCATATATTGAATTTATTGTTGATTATGTTAATGTTACCATTACCGACGATCCTAATATAGCTTTAAATGATTACAGAGATGGACAGGCGGCAGGAGGAGACGGAGGTTGGTGTGGAGTTGGGAGGTAGGAAGGGAAAGAAGATGAGGTGGAGGGTGCGGAGCAGGGGCAGCAGGGAGAGGCGGTGTTGGGTGGGCAGGAGGAGGAGAAGACGGTGGCGGTTGGTAAGGAGATGACAGGGGGGCGTTGGCGGAGAAGAAGAAGAGGAGGCGCAGGAGAAGGAAGGGCAAACAGCAATTGGTGGAAAGTGAGGGTAAGAAACATTTGATCACATAAAGTAGACTAGACTAAACAAATATTTTCCTGGCATGTATTGAATGCATTGTTGAGTATGTCGGTTTTCATTTATCAGCTGTTGTTGACCTTTTCGTACCTAATGTATTATACACGTGC